AGTGTGTCACTCATATTACACTATACTATGATTATAAAATAAACCCCAACTAGTGGGACTTGACCCTCAAAACCTATGTTGATCGACGGAAAACCAAAGTCGAAAAAAATAGAAGAGGTTGTCCGACCAAATGCACTAATCGTTGTGTCTCAATTAATATTTACCAAAAAATATAGTGTGCGTTAATTCCCTGTTCACGGGAATTATCGGATTAGGGTTAGGTTAGTTATCATGTCATTCTTTGTTCATTGGAATTTGACACGCCTACTATTGTCATGCCACCCTAATCGTTTGATGCCACATCTCAGTCACGTGTCAATCTTACTAGTGCGCCTAGTGTGAACATGAGTGGTGTACGAGGATCTTATTGACTCACTCGTTATGTTGGCTTCTAACTCATAGCGATATGAAGCTTCATCAATCCGCTTGAGTGTGTCAGTTATACCTCATACGAGTCCTTACGCCATGATAGGAGTCTGCGAGGTACAACTACCCATGGGGTTGTCATCATCCCAATGTGGGCGTATCCCCGTTGAGTTAGCGATTCATATATGTAGCATCATTTACAAGTTGTCCCACAGGTGATATAGCCGATGTTGTTTCTCCTGTAACGTAGCATAAAGGGAGAGCATATGTAACGTCATAAATCGAACAGGTACGGGAATCGATACTTACGACATCTATCTCCTGAGTTCAACCTTACCTCGATCAACTAAGACTGTTGCTCAACCACACTAATAATTTTTTCTGTTATTTTGACTCAAACCTATGAACATGTCGTATGTCTCGCTTCCTTATCGAACCATAACTTATCTCGTACGATAATGATATATTGTGAATCGCACGAGTTTGCAAGGATACGATGGGAGTGCTTAAGCGACACTATAACATATAATTATGTGCAAACAAGAAATCAGATATCAATATAACGCATTACACGATACCCATGAGCAAACAACTTTTCTTGGGCAGGATCGTGCACGACGCTAAAATTTTAGATCTCATCTTGAAGAGTTAATTTTTCGACTCAAAGTGGTTGCGTGTAAAATCGCGTACCCTTTTGCCTTTTTGTGTTTAGTACATAAAAATTACGAGGGTTGCAAAATGGTAGAAGTATTTTGAATGTTAATTAACAATAATTTCATCTTATTATTGTGCATACATTCGTTTAACCAATAAAACAAAACCAACAGTCATATAGGCACTCCCTTTCCTCGTTGTACCTTTTAGAGTTCGAACACATGTCGACGTAAAAGATAAAAGAAGTGTGTTAATCAGATAACAGATTTATGCACTATCTAGTCGTCAATCTCACTGTCGCAAGCGTGGTTTATTCATTAATTTGTACATACATCCATTAATGAGTCTTTCATCATATTATACTTGAACGTTGCCTGCAGACAGAATCTAAAGCAATTTTATGTATAATGCACTAACGTGGTAAACATTTTGGTCGTTTTACCATATGCCTTATATTCCTTTGTAAATCAATCTCAATCAACCATTAGTCGACTCATCCTTTTACTTAACTTTTGCATAACCATTTAAGGAACCTTAAAGTGGAATCTAAAGGAAATGTTATTTGGCTAGTATAGGGTTTAATTTGAGCTTTCACTGTAAAAAACAATGGAGGTCGATTCACAAATCCACTTGTTATCAATTAATAACAAAGTTAAATAAGTTTCTAATGCTTAGAATGCTTGATAACACTTATGAATTTGGGTGACATGTATCTCATGCCAATGCCAAAAACCACTATTGTACTAAAGAGTTACAGAGGTCATCCCCGTTTTACGGCCTAGCATACTCTCACCGACATAAATTAAGGGTAGTTGATTTCATTTTTTTTTACATTATCCCATATAGGAAAATAACCTCGTAAAATTTGTGACAAATACAAACCGATTTCTCGTATAATTTAAATTTTCATCCTTACATTATTTATATTTGAATACATTGTTATTGGCCCGAATATTTACGACGAACCTTCGGAGGCGTTTCGAGCTTTTTTGGGCCCTGACCAGCGGTTTAGGGTCTGCCAAACCCTATAGCGAACCTTTTTTTTATATAGATAAATCATGACCTAGCGCACGTACCTCTAAATTTTTATAGTATTTTGTTAAACAAAAAAGTAAAATAAATTTGTACAAGAGAGGGGGTTAAAAATTTTGCAACCCTCGTCTATAATTTTCATGAATTAGATTCATTGATTGATTGGTTGGTAAGGTTGGGTTCATCCTTCCCCCTCGAGCCCCCCCCAATCAATTATAAAATATAATGTCTCATTTATTTATTTTTTATTATAACTTTTGTATATATCATTTAATCGATTGATCAATTGGTCGGTTGAGGGGAGGGGCACTGCCCCCCGAATATACACATAGACACGTGCAACACACATACACTCACGCACATACAC